TTTCAATATGTTATGCAATAAACATTGAACCAGTCCGGCCCTCGACTAGTACCGATTTTTGTATTTTGGCCCACTGTGTAACTGTGTAAGAACTTTTGAATGTAGCATGTAACGACTGTAAAATTGGTAGTAAAGTCGTCCCATTTCTTTCCATTTCGACAGTGCAAAACCAAAACGAGTAGCGCTTCAATACAATCGGCCATTGTTGTTGTTGTCGATGTGAGGGGTTTCCGCGCGGTTTGGCTTTATGAAGCAGGCACGCAAACGGTTACGTCATGACGCAATGACGCAGCACCAGTCGGGCCCTGAGCAGTGTGAACAGAGCGGGAGCTGAACCGAAGAACCGGTTCCGAACCAGAAAAGCTCTAGCACGGAGCTAGAACGGGAAAAGCCTTGGTGTGAAAGGGGCAACATTGTCAAACATTTATCCAATTGATCTAATACCATTTATATAATCCAGAATTTAAAATTACTTTGCCGGTCTAATGCATTATTATTTGATTTTTACTTAATTATTGATAGTAACATTTGACATGGATCCAAATACCGACCTAATCCTCTGTCTCTCAGACGCAAAACCAGCACTGACAACACATACAACATTTCTATTGCGATCACGAGACATTTTGGACGTCTGTACATATGCTAGCTTAGTGATCATAAGTATTTAATGCTTATAATATATATGCAAAAAAACACACTGAAACCCCCTCTGCCTCTAACAACTGATTCAGCACAGTAAAGCCTGGCAGCAGCTCCTCTTAACCTGCCAGCTACATATCCTATAGTGACTGAGGAAGCAGCCATAATTCTGAGGCCATGATGAAATCCCTTTATAATAGTAGCAGTAGCATACAAGGTTTCTTCCTGCATGAAGATAAGGCATAAATATGCCAGCAAGCTGTGCACATGTGCATGTCTGAAGGTGTACATTATTGCCTGCTTTTCCGCATTAGGATTTATCTACCCACCTCCCTACAACAGAGGTAATCTGAAGGATGGAGATCCAAAATTGCTGGGTCAACAGTAAAATAATGTCAGGAAAAGTGACTGAGCAACAGTTTTTGCTCACCAATAACCCCAAAGCTGCTGAGTCAGCATTAAAAGAAAATGCACTGGGCTGGAAATGCACTTGAATCAATGTGAGTTGGCATTGTTACAAATATGTTTTTTTGTCATCCTTACAGAATGAATATTAGAGGTGGGCAAGAATAATGGCAGGGTTATCTCATGACCAAATGAAGCTATGTGCAGCTATTAGATCATGAGAAAATGACTTGCATTCTAGGTTTGATTATGACCACTCAGCTATTTGTCATTGAGGCAGTGTGAGCTAAGATACGGTAGACCAGTTGATACGAGATGCTCCATGTGTCTTTGCAGTTAAAAACCCTTTTTACAGCCATCTGTTTGGCTGTCACTGAAAGCCACTCGCTTGAGTTGTGTTTCAGGACAACAAAATTGGGGAGATTTTCTGGGTTAAGTGTGTGAAATCCTCAGCCAAGGACACAATGTCACCAGACCAGGTGCTCACTGCAGCATTTGCAGAGCAATAGCGCTGAATATAAGAGGATGCTCCGCTGTATTTCATGCGATCTACAATGCTGAGAGCTCAAACCTAAAAACAGCTCCATACCACTCAGATTTTAATTTGAATGTAGACCCTTCAAATGTAGCAACTGTGCGTGATGTACTGACAGAGGGAACTATTCCTCTGTGTTGTGCGTGAAGTTGTCTCCAATTGCTTTTACATCACAGTGGTTGTTGTAACACCCACATGCCATGGCCAGCAGGCTGCATCACATGAACTTATATCAGAGCCAATTAGAGGTACAGCTGCTGAGGTGAACAAGAGACGTAACTAGCTACTATAGGCCAAATGTAAGCTGAATATACATGGTTTTAAAGAATATTTAAATGACCCTTCTAGGTTGTGTGAATATTCAAAACATATGCAGGTCTCAACCGTGCGGGAAGGAATAGTGACACAAAGTGGGCAGTCCGTATGGTGAGAGCAAGTTGAATCACACAGAGATCAAGGAGAGCAAGTGGTGATGGGACAGATTGTGGTGCAGTGAGTGTCAGGGAGCAGAGCGCTTTTCCGTCATGTCAGTTATTTCTTGTTCATCCTACTGTATGGAGTTGTTCAGCCTGCCAGTGTGTCCAGAGATAGGACCAGCAGTGGGCATGGTCCCCTGCTGACTGACTTAAAAATAGCGGGAAATATGATGTTGAACCCAGATTTGAAAGCTGTCATTACAGTAGGACAAAGGTAACGGAAAAAAATACAATCCTGCGATCGAATTCTTTCTTATAGCAAAAATGTTATAAAAAAGGTTTAGTGTGTACAGACCGCTTAAGCATTCTGGAGGATATCAAACACCTTTGTTCAAACACAATAACATTCAGGTGACATAGCATGTGCTAATTCAGCAAAGCTAAATGTAGCTTCTGTTCTTCTCACTCCATCTGCTTGACTACTTCCATAAGGCTGTCCAATAAAACAAAATTCAATGAGTCAAAAGAGTGGTAAAAACAATCAGTGACGCCTGGATAGCAGCAGAATGAGCATTAGATGAGGGGTGTTTACACTGCACTGCAGTCTGCCAGTGCGGGAAATATGGATGGTAGAGTGGCTTAGCAAGGCTGAAAGAGGGTCTGCAGTCAACAACATTTGGAAAAAGCCTGGCAGGCACGATGCCCTGGGACAGCTTAAGTCACTGTTAGCTACACTAACTGCAAATCTCCTCTATTGACGTAGAGCTAGATTATGCCACCTTGTCCTGCTGTGACTGAAAGATTTACGCATAACACAACAATCATGGTGGTAATAAGAGGCTCAGAGGCAATGAGGCTTGAGGAATTACACATCATGATCAGACAAAGGCTTTAGCACTAATCTTTGCTCCCAAGTCCCATTTTCATTTGCCGCAAGTCTGCCATAGCAACAAGATCTATTGATCAATTTGCAGTGGTGAAGAACTAACACCGTAAACTACATGTAAGTCTGTCACATACAGATACAAAATGTGATACAATTCTTGCAATGAAGGTTTAATAAAAGCTCTCAGACAAGATTGAAAGGCTGTGTGACAATGCCTCAATTTGAAGTCTGTACCTCCCGCCAGACATTATGTGCTGAGATTGACTGCTGAGAATCAACTTCTAAATGCCTCTGCAGGAAGAGTCAGATGCAAAAATCCCGCCTGAAGTGATAAAAGTTTTAAAAAGGAAAGTCACAGAAGTAGTTCATCGCCTTGTATTTTACAATTTGGGAGAAGACTAAATTGCACATTTATCTCTCGTGGCTCATTTTATTTTTAGGTTAGACTGCTCAGAGAATATGTGCACATTTAATGAGTTATATATTTATAATTTGTTAAAGTAGAGATGTATTCATGTGAGAGCAAAGGCAACCAATGTAAAACATGGACCCACCTTATATAAAAATAGCATTCTTCAATTCCAAGAAGACAATACATTTGGGGAAAACTAAACTTTAACAATGACCATTTGTATTTCTCACCCTGTGCTACCTTTCTGTTGGTGAAGATTTGTTTTTATTTCTTGCATATCTCCATCGTAAAGAAAGGATAAAAAACTGAGAAAACTAATTTATTTTGTATACCTTTTTCGATACTTAGTTCACAGAGGAAGCATGTAAGAAACAAGATTGATGTGTAACACAGGCTGAGTTATTAA